GGATGCTCCTTTGGTGAGGAAGCCGATCCTTTGATTTACAGGATGCTCCTTCAGTGAGGTAGCCGATCCTTTGGTCTGTAGGATGCTCCTTTGGTGAGGAAGCCGATCCTTTGATTTGCAGGATGCTCCTTCGGTGAGGTAGCCGATCCTTCGGTCTGTAGGATGCTCCTTCGGTGAGGTAGCCGATCCTTCGGTCTACAGGATGCTCCTTCGGTGAGGTAGCCAATCCTTTGGTTTGTAGGATGCTCCTTTGGTGAGGAAGCCGATCCTTTGATTTGCAGGATGCTCCTTCGGTGAGGTAGCCGATCCTTTGATTTGCAGGATGCTCCTTCGGTGAGGTAACCGATCCTTTGATTTGCAGGATGCTCCTTCGGTGAGGTAGCCGATCCTTTGATTTGCAGGATGCTCCTTCGGTGAGGTAGCCGATCCTTCGGTCTGCAGGATGCTCCTTTGGTGAGGTAGCCGATCCTTTGGATGATGAATAGTTTTGATAGGTACCAACCCCTATCTGGTTTGATGAGAATGAACCCCCATCTAGTCCGAACCTTCTTTTGTAAGGCTCTTGTGAGTACAAACCCCCACCCGGTTCGAGTCTGCATTTGCTAGACTCTCTGACGAGCCCCGTTCTGCAAGGCTCTTAGGATTCTCTTTTTGGCAGTCAATCTTTTGATGAGTACAAACCCTCATCCGGTTTTGGAGATGTGTTGACGGCTTACTGTTTTTTATCATGCGCCCATTCATGGGGAATGATTGCTTTTTCTTTTTGACTTTTCTTTTTTAGTCATCCGGTCTTGCCAGGGATTTTTTGTTTTTGGCTTTTCTGTTTAGCCATCCGGTCTTGCCGGGGATTTTTTTTTTTGGCTTTTTTTTAGGCAGGAATCCTCTGGGGATTTGGGCTTTCTGTTGATTGTGCCTCTTGATTAGGCAGATGTTTCACTAGTGGTGAAGACTTTATGCTTTGGGCTTGTATTGCCTCTTGCATAGGTTGATTTCCCTCTTCTTGGGGATATTAGCTCTTTGCTCGTCTCTGAGTATGCAGAGGCTTTTTGGAAGTGAAGGCTTTGCGTTTCATTGGGGATATCCATATTGGGAGTTATAGGCGATTAATTCCCTGAGGATATGAATTTGTAGTTTTGCCTTTGCTGATAGGCTTGCTGGAGGTATTTTTCTTTTTGGTGATCTACCAGGGATTTGATCGTTTTCCGGAGATCTATTTTGAATTTCCCCCTAAGAAGGAATGGAGTTTTTGACTCCTTATTGGATGCTGTTGTTTGAGCTGGCTTTGCCTATGCTCTTATTCCTGCTGGGGAATGGGCTTTTTTCTCGTGATTTTATTATTTTTTTTATTTTTTTTTTGCGATTTGGCTTTTAAATATGTGCGCCTTTTATGCACATTGGCTTTTTCTTTTGTTGGATGAAAATATTTCTTTTTTCTCTTTTCTTTTTGGCGATCCCAGGGAGTTTATTGACTTCCTGGGGATCCGACTTTGATGATGGAGTCTTGGCTTCTGATTTTTGTGAAGCTCTTTTTTTTGAACTGGAAGATAGAAATTTTCTTGTTTTCTTCTTTTTTTGTTGCCCCCTGGTGATATGGAGGATTTGACTCCGTATTTTCTTTGATGGACTCTTGTGTAGTCCTTATTCTCCTTTGGGGAATGAAGCGGAGACTCTTGTATGAGTGTGCTTGATGACTCATGTGGTGATGCCGCTGAGTCATGAGGTAGTCTTTTTGTTTTGCCTATGGAGTAGGCAAGGATCCTCTTGGGGATGATCAAGCCTTTCCGTTGGCTTTTCTAAAGTGATTCTATTTGACAACTCATGTGAAGATGTTGAGTCATGAAGTATTTTTTTTTTTTTTTTGCCTTTGGAGTAGGCAAAAAATCCCTTTGGATGATTGAGCCTTTCCTTTGGCCTTGTTCCAGTGTACCTTCGCTTATTGGGGTAGAAGGTTAGAGCTAGTTTCCTTGAAGCTCTTTATTCTGCTAGAGATGATTTTGATTTCGCCTTTTCTTTCGCGATTTTGAGGGAATTTTTATTTGGAGACTGGATTCTGGCGCCTCCTATTTTCAATCACAAGCATGGAGACTATCCTCCTTATATGCCTGTTTATTATTCTTGTTTGAAGAAAATTATTTTTTCTTGATTTTGACAAAGTCGTATTATACAACTACTTTGTGTGTGGATGTCCTAAATGCAATCTATTTGTTTATTTATTTTTGATGCATTTTAGAAAGTAACTGGTCTTCTCCCGTTGGCTTCTTATGAATACACCGATGGGCTCCTCCTTTATGACCATGATGATGGGCTCCTCTTTTATTCATCTCTTGGTTTTAGCCCTATCTTTTGCCTAGACCGCCCTTTACGGGTTTTCGATCTAGCGGATTGCCTTAATTTTTGCCTAGAATATCTTAGGGGGCTTTTGCCTTATCTTTTGCCTAGATCGTTCTTTTGGGGTTTCCGATCTAGCAGGCTACCCTAGTTTTTTCCTAAGAATATCCTAGCAGGCTTTTATTCCTTTATTATTTTTATGCTTCTTCTTTTTTAGATGCATGCTTGATCTTTGATTAAAGGTCTTTGTGCATATTTATGATTTCTCAATAAAGAGGCATTTCCATAATATTTGGTCAAGATAAAGGAAATGAAAGGGAATTTTATTGATAAATGAGCAAAAGTTTATTTCTTTTATAGAAGGATTTCAAAGGGTATTTAGAAGAATGGGTGGTCAGGGTTGGCTATACTGTATAGGCTTAAACAGTCATGTCCATGATATCTGCCCCCTGGTTCTCCTAATTGCTTCAGTTGAGATGCCTGAGCTCAGAGTGAAGACTATGCAGACTGCTTGCTTCTGGAAGAATGTTACCTTAGCCGCCTTTCGGTTTTCGACTGAGGTAACCATTGCTCTTAGTTAGTTTTTTTTTTTTTTTTTTTTTTACCTCTACTTTTTGCCTAGGACGTATCCTAGCGAGGGATATAGACCCTATCTTTTGCCCAGGGATGCCCTTTGTGGGTTTTCATTCCTGACGGGTCTTGAGCAATGTCTTCAAGCATAATACTTCTTCACCGTACCGGAGTTGATTAGGTGTCGAAGTTCTTTTCCATCCATATTGGCGAGGATAAGAGCCCCTTCCGAGAAAGCTCATTTGACCACAAAGGGTCCTTCATAGTTTGTTGCCCCTTTTCCAATTTTATCCTTCTGGGCTGGAAGCAGTTTCTGTTAGAATCGCGCAGCGGAATGTTCGCGTGGTCGGACAAAAACCAAGAGGGGGGTGAATTGGTTTCTTAATAAAAATTAGGTTTTCAAAATTTTCCCCAAAATTTACCGATTAAAAACTGTGTAAATGTAAATAGAGAAGAGAAGAGAATCTTACACAGGAGATTTATACTGGTTCGGATCAAAAGACCCTACGTCCAGTTGCTAATCACTCAAACAGAGGATTAACGTTGTCACTATAATCAAGTTGTTACAAGCAGATTACAATTGAAAAGATAAAGATAAGAAAACACCTCTCTTGAAATCCACAAGAGATGATGAACAACTTTCCCTAGAGACGGCACAGCACACAATCCACTAAGAACTCCACTTAGTGATTCTTATCGCTTCTAGCCCACACCAGGTTCCAAAAGCCCCCTTTCCTTGCAACAAACAGTTCTCTATGTTAGAAAAGTAGTTTTAAATCAAGAGGGGGGGTGAATTGATTTTTGAAAGTTTTTCGCAATAAACAGATTATCTAATTCGAAAATTAAGTTTACTAATCAATTCACGAATCACAAAGCAATTAAACAATACAAGCGTAACAACTGAATTTAAAGAGAGAAAGGTTAGGAAAGATTTCACCGGTAATTTTATACTTGGTTCACCCAATACCAGGGCTACGTCCGATCTCCGACCAAATTCCAGTTGGGTTCCACTAGAATAGATGTTTCACGAGACTCAACAATCTTACACCTACTCTAACACCAGAACCAATTTCCAGTTCCGACTTTAACCTTTCCACCAAGAACCAAATTCCAGTTCTTGGAAACCTCTCGCAACCAAATTCCAGCCATGAGAGAACCCAGTACCCAAATTCCAGGCACCAAACCTTTCACCAAGAACCAAATTCCAGTTCTTGAAAACCTCTACAAACAAATTC